GCTGTTGGGAGAGGCGTGCCCTGCCCTGCCTCTCAGTCAGCCAGAGTCAAGAAGGGCAGGGTCTCCTCCCAGCCACAAAAGAGCAATTCGTTGCACAGCATGGCCCCCCTGCTGCGCAGCAAACTGCTCTTCTGCAGCTGGGAGGAGGCCCCACCCCTGTACGATGCCAGGTGGCTGAGAGGCGGGGCAGGACACACCTCTCCCAACTGCCATGGCAGGAGCGGTGTACCCTAGCCCAGGCCCGAGTCAAGAAGGGCAGGGTCTCCTCCCAGCCACAAAAGAGCAATTCGTTGCACAGCATGGCCCCCCTGCTGCGCAGCAAACTGCTCTTCTGCAGCTGGGAGGAGGCCCCACCCCTGTACGATGCCAGGTGGCTGAGAGGCGGGGCAGGACACACCTCTCCCAACTGCCATGGCAGGAGCGGTGTACCCTAGCCCAGGCCCCCAGAGCCGCTGTAGCCCAGCAGTTGGGAACTGCTTTAGAAAAATATAAGACTGTCTTCTTATTTGAAGGGTCTTTTAGAGAAGGTAAGAGCTAACTGACTATGTTTTCCTGAATGTCTTCCTCTCTAGTAAACTTGACCCAACTAAGGTCTATAATCCAATTGCAATTAAACTAGTACACTGTAATACAGGTTGAACTCCAAAATCCAGGATTCTGTCAACATAAACGAAGAGGGAATTTGAGGAAGACTATAAATCCTCTGATTCAAATCGGTTTAATCCATGCCTTACATGGGCACAATAGCCTTAGATCAGTCTGGGGCTTGAAGGATTAGATTTTATGGAAATACGACAATGTTCTGCCACACTGGCTAGAAAAAACCTTATATCAAGTCACTACTAGAACATCTGTTTACCTCGGACCTCCTTGCTTGTGTGTTTGTCCATACACAATCTTGAAGTTACTCTCAAAATTCCACATTTCCCCAAGCTCAGCAGCAGACTATTTTAATCAAACCACTGAACTTTGGATGCTTCCTGCTCTCCAGGTTGCAAGTAATTCACAGAAGTTTTTTATTGGGCCCTTTTATTTAAAGCTACAAAGCCTTCACTTGTTGAAAAGGATGGAACAGTGCAACAAAGTTAGTTTAAAATGAAATCCTCCATCAGATCCTTGACTGCCAGAATATATCACCCCAGTGGTCTACTGCTGTTGGGGCTCATGCGTGAAATAGGTTTTACGTGTTTTAATTCTGGACAGCCTTCTGTGAATGGTCTGGATCTTCTATTCCAATCTAGTCTACTTCTCTTGAGCTCCAATTTTGGTATCTCTGCCTTGTCAACAAGCTCCAGTATTTTTGAATGGAGATACATTCAATGTCTCACCAATGAGAAGGGTCTTTTTAATCTTTTTAAAAGCCTCACCAAATATATTTTTTTGAAATAAGAAAGCTGGATGATTGGTCCTGTGCAATTTTGATTTATTCGATAGGTGTGTCCATTGTTCCTCCTGATTTTCTTCCTTCCCTTCACGGATACCAGAGGATGTTGTGAAAGCCAAGACTTTAATAGGGTTCAAAAAAGAACTTTAAAAATTCAGGAAGGATAATTCCATCAATGGCTATTACTCATGATGGGCAAGGATAGTGTGCCTATCTTCTGTTTGTTAGAAGATGGGAATGGGCAACATGGGATGAATCACTTGATTATCTGTTCTGTTCTTTCCTTCTGGGGCATTTGGCATTGGTCACTGTCAGAAGACCAGACACTGGGCTAAACAAACTTTTGGTCTGAGCAAGCCTGGCAATTCTTATATTCCTCCTTTTATAGTTCAGGTAGCCAGCATCTTTAATATTTGTTTGCATGAAATTCTGGTTACGGGGCAAATACCAGCCTGTGCTCTTACAGGAGTCAGGCTAGACAGTTGCACAGGAGATAACGAATTCACAGACTGAGAATTTATGAGATGTCACCAACCCTCTGAGGCCTAAGACATGTTTGCTCAGGTCCCCCTCTGCCATCGAGAGTACTGACATGACATTTAAAGAGATCAAGTTGAAAGCCATCGAGTCTCATATATAAAGAAGATGATGGTACAAGACTTCTAGCTGATCTGGAAACTTATGCTTGCTTGCTTTTCTTCATTACTTTTCCTAGAGTCAAATGCTCTTATTACGGTGGGAAAATAACCAGAAATTTAATCTGATTTTAAGTTACGCCCATTTTTTTAAAAGGTGCATTAGATTGAAAACAGGAATTGGTGATGTATTGTAATTGCTAAAAGGGTTCCTGATCTAGCTATCTAAATAATGCCAATGACTCAGAACTCTAAATAGGTATTCTAGACCAAAAGATTTTTTTTTGTTTTTTTAAAGAAAATAACAGCTGAAATGGAAAAAGGGAAGCAGCATTCCTCTGCTACACAGCACCAAAAGTAGGGAAAAGATAACGAAAACAGAGGCATTAATTTTCACTGCCACTATTAAAGATATCTAAATAGATAATTCTGTATTTATATAAAATACAAAAAAATCAAAAATTAGATAAATTCACATAATCAACATGTTGCTGACGTTATCACTAATCTTAAATTTGACCTTTGTGACATGACATCTTTAAAGCAGGAGTGAGGAACCTCAGGCCCAGGGGCCAGATGCAGCCCCTGGCTTGCTTGGATCCAGTCCCCGAGGCTCAGGGGCCTCCGAAGCATTGGGAAGCCCGCACTAGCACTCCAGCCGCCCTGCTGCCTTAATGGTTTGTCATTATGAATAGCTACAGTGTCACATTTCTGATTGAAAAATAATTAGTCTTTCTAGAAAGGCTGTTCAGTGTAACTCAGATTGGGATCCTTCAGCAGACCCACACAAAAATGGGAATGACTAAGATAGTAGGCTGATTCACTTAAAAATTAGCAGAAAAGGAAAACTCATGAGGGAAAATTCCACTACTTGTTCCACCGATCCTCCTCTGACTTAACTCAGCACATTTTATTCTGTAGATCTGGTGAAAAGACAAATCCTGGACTTCTTGTGCAAACCTGTTCCATTCCTTTGATTCCCTAAATTGCTTTCCTCCAGGAAATCTTTGGAAAGCAGACTGTATGTGGGACTGAAGGACTTTAAGTCCTGCTATTACACAGTTCATGTTTGTAGATTTATAAGAATCAAAATGGATCATCATTCATGATCCAAACTCACAGTATTTAGAAATGAACTTGTGTTTGTACCTTGCATCCGCAGCCACTCTTATTTGGTTAACCCTCAAGAGAATCATTACAACTTAATGAAGCAAGATAATGAATGCCTCGCTCTCCTCCTATTCAACCCTTAACTACTACACATTTCTGGAACCTCCTCCTCAGGTCTCCAAAATACCACTATCATCTAGCAAAATGCCAGGCACACTTCTCTTGGTATAAAAGAATTCTTCATTATACTTACAAATTAAAAAAAGTCTCCTACTAATTAACACACACAACTAAACTTGACAGCAGTAACTACCTTTTCCAAGTTTGTGTGATGGAGCTTGAGATCTGAGTTAATGACAAATGGAAAACTGCTATGTGTTATTGTTTATGGAATTTCAAGGCTTTGGTTCTTATTTATAGCTACACGAGAAAGTTACCCTATCATTAACACAACATCACTTCAAAGACAGCCACTAGACAAAATTTTCAGGATTTATGAAGAATCTTCAGATTATACAAGAATCGTTTTCTTCATTGCATTTACTCTACTGACTTGCAATTTTTCTGCAAGAAATATACAAGTCACTTCTTCTGTTTGAGCGAATACATCCCAAGAGTTTTCAGATGAATGACTGATTAATATTTACCTTTAAAGTAGCATTTATAAGGCAGCTGATCATTAAACTTAAAATAAAATATATTTTCATAAAATGATAAATAAAAAAGTTTCCAAAAAAATTGAATTTACATTTGTCATATACGTTACCACTTCCAATGTCCTGATAATTATAACTTTCTTACCCTTCCCAAATCTTAGTAAATTATTAAATTAGTCAAGTTTCCAATTACATAGCAACAAACTGTAAAGCAACCAAACTTGATTTAACAAAACTTTGTAATGGGATACTAAGAGACCATCAAAAAATAAATTACTTCTGACAATTTTTACGTAGTATTTCTATAAAAAAATTACTATAAAATTAGAAAAAAAAATCTAGATTATTTCATTATCTCTTCTATTGATGAGTCGCATAAAGTAAGAATGGGAAAAAGGCCATTGTAAGTATAGAAAGTGTGACTGTAAACCAAAACAATTTACAGGGTTCTTGGGGAATACAAGTGTAATACATGACTGTTTTAACTCCTTGTTTAAAACAGTCTGGACTTCATGTTGCCTGTGTCTGTTTAATATATTCAGCCTAAAGAATGTGTACCTTGAGCAAATCTGACACAATGATTGAAGAGAAATTGCAGGCATGTAGCTTAAGGCAGCATAGTAATTCAAAACTAAAAACAAAATATTCAAAATAATAAAAATGTTACAGTTTAAAGTATCAAAAAAATTAGTAGTTTTTTAAAATGTTAACGTAGAGAATAAAATGATAAAAATGCCATTCACATAAACCATACTAGAGATTATACTACAAGCAACACAGATTTGCAGCATTATAGAATCACAGAAATGTAGGTTTAAAAGGAACCTTAAGAAGCCATCTTGTCTAGCATCCTGTGTTGGGCAGGCCCACTGCTGGGGTGTGGGGGGAAGGAGGCGTCCGGGGCGGGAGGGGGAGAGGGAGGGAAGAGTTCAGAGGAGAAGATGGTAACTGCTACCCAAGGATAGCAGTGTGATTCAAAAACACAGGGCTCCCAGCTGTCGCTACTGCATCAACAGCCGGAAGCCCCAAGCCTTTTAAATCCCTCCTGGAGCAACACCTCTTCCATGCCAGGCCCCACTCCTTCCAGAGCGTAGAGCTGCCCAGTGAGTCAGGGGCTCAGTGAGTCTGTCAGCTCCACTGCTACAGAGGCTAAAATAAATATACATAGAGCAAACCCCATAGGTCTTTCTCCAATCTGTTCATAAAACCTCCAGTGATGAGAATTCCATAACCTCCCTTAGTAGCCTATTCCAGAGCCACACTATCCTTATAGTTTGGAAGTTTTTCCTAATACACTTGTTTTCCTAATACACTTGGGCCTCTTTAATCTGGCATTCCCTGGGAAACAGGATATACCAGATTAAAGAATTTTCCAGGCCAGGTAGGGCACTGCAAGGTCAGAGCATGAAGGGAACGGGGTGGGGCGCTTACCTGGCATCCCACTCCTGGGAGCACACATGGCTCTATGCCCCATGCCGGCCCCTGCTGCTACGGGAGCAGCAGGGAAAAGCCTCAGGAGAATTGCATCACTGTACTGCTGTACCCAGCTGAGGGAAGGGAGAGCAGCAGGACACAGAGCCACTTCTTCCTCTCTCTGCCAGGGTCTGTACCACGCGTGTTCCCCAATAAGGGACACACTGGAGTACAGAAGTTCATGTGTATCTAACTTAAGTCTTCCTTGCCGCAGTTTTCATTACTATTTATCTTTTCTTCAGTAAACTTGATCATTGGCCTCTTTGTAAGAGCCCTAAATATATTTGAAGACTTATCAAGTCCCTGTCTCTCCCAGAGTCTTGTATTCTCAAAATTAAATCTGACCAGGGTGTGTGTGTGTGGTTTTTTTTTAAACCTTCTCATAGGTCTAAACATTTTATTTTTTTTTAGCTCTACTTTGTATGTTCTCCAATTTGTCCATGTGTTTCCTAAAGTGAGGCACCTAGATCTGAATCCTATATTCCAGCTCTACGAATGCCAAGTAGAGTGAGATAACTACTAACAGGAATGTTTCTCCCCCAGAATGATAATAGCCTCTCTCACAACTACAACATAGGATTGATTCATTAAATTTGGGATCTACTATAACCCCCAAGTCCTTTTCAGCAGTACTATCAACTAGCCAATTATTTCCCATTTTCTATATGCATATTTGATTTTTCTTTAAAAGAAGTACTTTGCACGTCTATTAACTGAATTTTGTCTTGTTGAAATTAAACAAATTCTCCAATTTGTCACGGTCATTTTGAATTCTAATTCTGTAAACTAATTCTGTGCTTGCAAACCCTTCTAGTTTGGTGTCGTCATCCACCAGTTTTGGAAACCTACTCACCTCCCAATATCCAAGTAACAAACAAAAATAGTGGGTAGTACCAGACCCAGCACTAGGGATCTAAAGAGTAACCATTTAAACCATTAACTGATAAAAATCAGCTTATTGGTTTCCATTACAATTATACCTTGGCTCCCTGGGAGCAGACTACTTACAATTGTAAAGTTAGAAAATATTAGATAATAAAGATAGCAAGAGAACACAAAGCCAAAAATAATTAAGCCACTTTAACCATTTTTATGGATTTTCTTACAAGATTTACAACCAACCATTTTACCTATTTTGCGCTGTTAACATCTCTCTTTGAGGATGAGGTCCACTGTACACCACCCTGGACAAACCATGCTGGGATAAAGCTCCCTCTGTAAGAGCCATGGAACCAATGCTGGAAGGCTAAAGTAAACAGGTATTTGAATAAAGCATTCCAAACATATGTACTCTTCAAGTCTCATTACACATTGGGGTAAAAATAGACAAAATTATGGAAAAATTGTGTATGTGCATACATTTTGAACCTACATAAATCTAGTTGCTGTATTATGTAACATAAGAAAGCCACCACCTTAAGATTAGGAGAAAAAGTTAAAAAACAACGCTATGAAAAAGCTGGCCCTTAAATAGCTCAAAAATTGTTTTTAAAACATGTCAAGCTTAAATTACCTCATTAGAAGAATAGCCATGAAAGGCATTATTAGAAAAATCAAATGTGTCATTAATCCCCCCCCACACTGCCTTCTTTAACTGGTAACAGCCATGCATTTAAGTAACGTCACTCACTTCATGATACACTGAAGGTTTGGACAAGGATGGAATTGTGAAACTCAGCACTTTACTATGACCCTGTTTGTTAACTATTTCCTGTAAAACACAAAAGACATCAAGGGTTACGTCATACAATTTCTTGCATGTTAACTATGATTTTCACAATAAAAAATGAATAGTCATGGGGAAATTCAGATATTAATTATCCTTTTCTGCTCTAGAATGCAGATATCTAGATGAAAGTTTAATGTACCCTTGACACTTTCTCCAAAACTGAAGTGTTCTTGGGTATTTATGAATACATTTAAAATAAAGGCATTTGTTAACTGGTATATACACTGATCCTTTTAAATGATATACAAGAGACATTTCTACAGTGTTGCAAAATACTTGTCTTGAATAGATATGCAATCCCTTAATCTAGCAGTATTATCCATTATTTTTAAAAGCTACACAGTATCCATTATTTACTACTACTAAAGTAGCAAAGGTTCATGGTCAATAAATGTGGTAAATCCGTCATTACTGAACTACAGAGTCAGGGTTAACAGGATTTAAAAAAACAAACAAACAAAAACAACTTTGAAGAAAGAATAAATCCATCTTCAGCCTAACATGATCTAATAATACCGGATAAACTCTCTCTCAAAACATGTACTAATACTTTCAATTTCTTGTGCAAATATCTACTTAAGGGGTGAGGTTAAAGGACCATAGAAAGACTACATTCATGGATGCAAGGTCTCAAAGAAAGGGAATTACTGTCCTGAAAGATGAGCCCTTTAGAATACCTGGCATTTTATCCTTGTATTGTAGTGCATGATTAACAGAACAAGCAAAAAACATATGCTAACAAGTCCACTGTGTTTCAAAGCAGGCTTCAGAAATGGGAAATGGTCAGAAATCAGACCAGATTGGAAGAATTGAGGCAGAATCAACAAATGATACACAAGAGTACTGTTAGGATCCACAAGAAAGAGGGAACAATAAAGAATGTAGCACAGATGCTGTAAGGAGTCCCTTCAGATACTAGCATCATGAAGGACCCAGGACATTCACAATAAAGCATACATACTTAGCAAAAAGATACCTGGGACTGCCAGTCAGAGGCAGGCCTGGCTTACATTTTATCCCACTACCACTCTCCACAAGGGTCAAACATCTAAGAGCTAGAGGATTTCAGCCTGTCTCTTGATAAGGTGCTAACATCCAGGATTTAAATTCTACCTAGATGTTATACTTAGAACAATCTTTTCAGTTATAAGCAATTTACCCCACTTTATATCTACAGATTCAGTCAATTACATGGAATTTAGGACACAGAGGGCTATGTATTTTTAAATATCTATTGTCTAAAGCATGGAACATTTTAGATATTTAACCCTTCAACACCAAAATTTCTCTCTAAAGGTAAGAAGAGAGAAAGTTTAAGGAGAATGGAATTTTAAGAGGGACTCTATGACACTGAGATCACTATGCTGGAAAATCAAAGGTACGAAGGTGGAGTGAAGGAGTGGCAAAGCAGAAAGGATGGTTAGATTTGAGCAGATGAAACCTCACTGGTATACCATTCTTTAGCCAGAATACAGCTACATCACTCTCCATGTCACCATCAATCCCGAAATTATTGGCATTTCTTCATTCCTTAGCCAGGAGGCAAGAGTAATTGACTAGGAGTCTGGTCTCCACAGATTCCCAATGAACCCACCATAATCATTTCCAGAAAGGCAGAGGATTACTGCTCCTGTAGTCGTACTGACTCAAATAACTGGGGGGGGGAAGGGAAGATGCCAATGTCTGTGAACAGAACACGCACTCTACTTAGGCCTGTCCAGGAGAGAGAAGAAAAGAGAACATACAAGAGAAGAACAGACTGTCTGAGAGAATGCCTAATATTCTTCCTATAGAACATTACAAATCCAAACTACTTCTGCTAAAAGCAGAACACCAATTTTCTGTAATGCCTGCTAAGATATATAGGATGCCAAAACTCTTCTAGGGAGCTGTATCCATGAGTGCTGATAGACATGGTTATCCAATTGTCCATTTCTAAACTGACTTTACCTGTCTGAGAAAAAAGTTACCAGAGTATCACGGAGATACTCCACTGAAGAACTGTAATATGTTGCCCAAAGTCTTGCCTGACAGTGGCTTGTAACAGACACTTCAGTGGAAGGTATATGAAACTCGAAACAATTAAAGAGTAATACTTTCATAGGGAAAAATTCTGCCTACGCCTTGCCCCATCAGCTAGTGGTGGGTCTATGCTCTAAACAAAAGCATGAGTGATTATTCCTAGCTTATCTTGCCTAGATGTAAACACATTTTCTCCTCCACATAAATATCAAATCTTTCTACACCTCCTGAGCATTTGCCTCACTGATATATTGTGGTAACAAGTTCCACAGGTCCATTTACCTAGCAGTTAGGTTAGAGGTAACTTTTGGTTAGAGGTAACCAATTGACCTAATCATATGACTTTTAATTAAAATGATTCTTCCTCTTACAGATAATTGCATAAGTTAAATATAAAACTAAAGATGGAAACTAGTAAGAATTGCTCATCTGAGGGGACTGGCATCCCTAATCCTTTGATGTGGAAATTTTCAGGTGCTTCAAAGAGGTTCATTCCCTCCACCCCACGAAATGAAAGCACTTAATATACAGAGATCATCACTTTTAGCATTAACCTACATGTCTTCTCTGCTGGCATTTTTAAGAGACTGAAAGAATCAGACACTTGTTTCATCCTTTCAGTTAACTGCTCATTTCAATTATTTGTTGAACCACAGGATGCAGAGAAATATCCTGTTTCTTTTTAAAACACCACACAATACAGTAAAACTCCAATGGTCCGGCATCTGACAGTCTGGCACTCCTGATGGTCCAGCACCATAAGGAACCCGGAAGTGCTCCGGGCAGCCGGACCATTGAGGCTGCTCTGCCCCCAGCTTCCCCGATTCAGCCACTGCTAAAACTGACCAGCGGCTGAATCGGGGAAACCAGGGGCAGAACAGATCGAGTGATGCCAGGTAGGTCCTGTAGAGCTGCCCCTTGGGGATAGACTATTTTTTGAGGGGGGGTGAGGGGGGGAGAGAATCAGACCTTTGAAAGCCCAGCCCCTTCTATTTAAAGGATAATTGAGTTTTACATAAATCCTGCTACGGTGAACTGGCTATGTTCATAATGGAACACACTTCATCATATGACATTTCAAGAATATATTCTTCGGATTCAAATTTAATACACCATTACTCTTAAATGCTAAATAAAATGGTGTGGAACAAGATAATTCTTACTGGACCAAAGAAAATGGTTCTAGTTTTACACTATATAATATTGTTGTGCATGCGCAACAGAATATGCAGAGAACTGTACTTACAATAAATATGCAATACATATGCTTCTTTAAGCAATTCTCAGTCCTGGAGTCAGCTGCTGGTCAGTTTCAGCAGTGGCTGAATTGGGGAAGTCTGGGGCAGAGCAGCTGGGGTGCTGCCGGGTTGGTCCCGCAGTGCTGAGGGGCGCATCCTCTCACTCCACCCCAGACCCCTCATAGCCCTCCCTTTCGATAGTCCGGCATATCTGATAATCTGGCACCCCCTGGGTCCTAAAGGTGCCGGATTATCGGAAGTTTACTGTACTTATAGATCCATGAGTAACTGTGTGGGAGAGGGAGGAATAAAATCAGTATGTTAGTGTTATTTCAGAATGTCTTGGGAAAAAATATAAAAACTAGGCAGAGGCTCTCTTGAAGACTTAAGTTTATCCTTAACCAAATCATTATTGCACCAAGCCGCTAGAAGATAGATGGAAACAGATGGGGTTATAAGAATAATAATAGAGAAACCTTTGATAACTGACTATTCTAAAGATAGAAAGTTGTGGGTACAGCTTCAGGTTGTTTTTTCTGAAATGAAAGTGAATTACTTTTTTTCCTAGCAGGAGAAAACAAGAGATTATTCAGATATACTTTGACCACCCTGGATGCCTGTGCTATCAGAGATGCTAGTTCAAAATGAATCACAATTCCAGACAGAAACCTAGAGCAGGAAACAAGAGGTCCTGTTTGTGCAGAAGACTGTCTAGGAATGCTCTCCTCTTTTCAATCATAGTTAAATTTATGGAGGAGCATGTGTGCATGCTTGCTTGGAGGTGTGCATAAAGCCACTTAGGCTACATCTACACTGCAGCCTTCTTGCAGAAAAACTTATGCAAATTAAGCTTATACAAAGGAAGAATAAGGGGGGGAGGGGGGCACAGAATGTAGGGAGGTTGGGGGACTCCTTCAGTGGCACAGTGGCTAAGGTACCTGCCTGCAGAGCCACAGGTCAAGGGTTCAAGACCAGCCTCCCCAACCCTCAGAGAACAGTCGAGGCTGGGGGGCTCCTCCAGTGGCACAGTGGCTAAGGCATCCACCTCCAGAGCTACAGGTGGGTACTCTGATAGGAATTTTTTGTGCAAAAAAAAAAAAACACAAAAAACAAAAAACCCTCTTGCACAAGAGCCATTCTTCATCAGGAAGAGTCTACCCGGCTCTTTTTTGTGCAAAATCCTCTTGTGCAAAAGCGGCTGCTCATTAATTATGCAAATGAAACAGCAATATTCCACACCACACTTAATTTGCATAAGCTTTTCCACCAGAAGGCTACAGTATAGCTGTAGCCCTCGAGAGACAGTTACACAAAATTGTCTAGAAGTTTGCATGAAAAAAAAAAAAATAAAAAATCTTGGGCTGAACTTGGTTCACCACTTTGCCACAGAAGGTCTTCCTTTTTACCACCCCTAATTTCTTAAGGGTTTTAAATAAACCCCCTTTCCCAAACCTGCCCTTTCTCTCATTGCCCTGATTTCTCCCATAGAAATAGAAAGCACAAGGAATAAGACTAAAGGAGCATTTCTTCAGCTGGAGTCCACGAGGGAACTTCAGGGAGTCAGCTACACACACTCCCTCCCTGGACTTCCTGCATGCTGGGTAGGGATGAAAGCCTAGGCTTATCGGGTAGTCAAGTCACTACTCTAGGCACTTTTCTCCCGTCCCTTGCTGCCTCTCTATCAGAAGCAGAAGGGGAGGGGAGAGAGTTAAAGCAGGAGCCAGTGCTGGGAGAGCCAGTTTAAAAGCCAGTTCACCCCAGCACCATCTCCGTTGGGGTGGGGGTAGGCAAAACAGGACAGGCAGAGGCGCAGCGGGGGACCAGGAATGGGTTGGGACTCAGCTGTCCCGGTTCATGCCTGGTCCCAGATGCTGCACCTCTGCTTTTTAAATGTAGTAAGAGCCTGGCAGGAGCTAAGCCTGCTGCAGCTCTGCAGTTTCTCCCCTTATCAAGTAGTCAACTGAAATTCCATCGACCTCTTGATTAGCTAATTACATGCAATTTAACATCCTTAAATGCCAAGGAACACTTGTTTAATGGCATTCAGAAGACACCAATAGCATTGCTAGGTGTCCAGTTTTCAATAGTGCAACAGGAGGCTGGAACTAATTCAGGCTCCCTTCCTGACCTGGCTCCCAGACGCAGCCACTACGTGCATGGGCAGCCAGGGAGGCTCCGTCCACTGTCCCCAAGCATTGGCTCCGTAGTTCCCAAAGGTCAGGAACTGCAGCCAAGGGAGCTATGGAGGTAGCACCTGTGAGGTAAGCACTGCCAGGACCCCACTTCCCAAACCCCGTCTGGCAACCCAGAGTCCCCTCCCACTCCTAAACGCCCTCCCAAAGCCCACACTCCACCAACACCCCAACCCTCCCAGAGTCTCCTCCCCATCCCAAACATCTCATGCCCAGCCCCACCCCAGATACTGTTCCTCCAGTGTAATCCTAACCCCCCTCCCACACGCCAACCCCGTCCCAGCCCAGAGTCTCTTCCCACATCCAAGCTCCCCCTCCCCCAAGTGCCTGCATCCCTCAACTCCTGACCTCAGCCCAGAGCCCCCTCCAAAGCTCCAAATCCCTCTTGCAAGACCCACACAGATCCCATACCCCAGCCAGAGCTCTCAAGCCTCCACAAATCTACCCTCTGCACCAGCCCAGAGTCCCTTCCCACACTCCAAGCCCTTCCCCAGCTTAGTGAAGTGAATGAGGGTGAGGAAGAGCAAGTGGGGATGGGACCTTGGAGAAAGGGCACGGCCTGTGGTCCCCCAAAAAATGTGTATCAAATTGTGGGTCCTCAGGTTGCTAAATGGCTGAACTGGAGAAAATCCTGAAAGAGAAGACACAAAGCTTTACAGCAGAGTAACACTGGAAACAAGAGGATGGGAAAGCAATCAGCATTTGTGCTCCAAGTTTTGGATGTGATACAAGCTAAAAACACAATCCATTTAGTTACAGATGAAAAATAAGTTACTATTCTAATATTAGATATGAATAAAATTTCCCCATAAAGTTTTATAGCATGAAAGGAAATCGATTTAAGTGCCTTAGTCTCAACAAACTGTTTTCTAAGTTTTTGTTTCTAAGATGGTCTATCTTAAATACAGTATCTCTGTAATACTACCTGCTAAAAAGATTTGGTCAAATATATTCTTCATTGAACGGGAGGAAATTGGTACTTTTAGCTTATCCCAACGATTAGTTTAAAAGCATGACGGAGAGACTGTTGGCAATTCCAAGGCAGATCTTTCCAAAAGAGGAAAAAAAACTGAAGACAGTGACATGACGACAAAAGCAGAGTTGATCTTGAGCAGATTAAAGGCATGGATTTCAGACTGGTGGCCGTGGCCCTAGGATGCCAAGTGAAATGGGTGCTGTTTATATAATTATAGGACTGGCCTTACAGACAACATATAAAGCTGCATTTATAGCTTATAAGCAACAGGTATGGGATTCTTAGACTAGAAACACACAGGATCTTCATTTTTGTCTTGAAGAAAACCTTAAATGATTTACTCTCCACTCCAGTAAGAGTTTATCTACTACTAACAAAACCCACTAACGTTTGAGATATTTAAGAAATTTCATGCAAATACAAACCAAGTTATAAATTCCTAGAAGAAGAGCCTCTATACAACCACTGCTCTGCAGATCTCTGCTGGCTGAGACTGCAAGGTAACACCACATCAATTCTGGCAGAAACTGCAGGGTGAATCGTAGTAGTCGTTCCTCTCCACTGCGATAGAACTCAAAAAGCTGGTGGCAAACTGGCTCTAACAGCTGGAATATAAAATGTGAATGTCAATGGAATAAAATCTGATCACAAGATAATGTTCCCTGCTGCTAAGTATGGAGACAAAAAATATTTTTTCAAAGCAGAAATAACTGAACTTATAACAAATTATACATTAATTTCATGTGTACAGGCAGTCCCTGGGACTGTACAAGATAGGGACTGTAGGTTTGTTCTTAAGTTGAATCTGTATGTAAGTCGGAACTGGCGTCCAGCTGCATCTGGACACCAGTTCTGACTTACATACAGATTCAACTTAAGAAACCCAGGCATCCCCAAGTCAGTTGCTGCTGAAACTGATCAGCAGCTGATTCTAGGAAGCCTGGGGCAGAGCAACTCTGCCTCGGGCTTCCTGTAGTCAGCCGCTGGTCAGTTTCAGCAGCGGCTGAAACTGGGAGGCAGTTCCAACTTACATACAAATTCAACTTAAGAACAAACCTACAGTCCCTATCTTGTACGTAACCCGGGGACTGCCTGTACATGATAAGCCTGGGCTTATCAGTTCATCTCGTCAACTACACTCATTTCCCCCCACCCCTTGCTGCTTCTGAATCAGAGGCAGCCAGAGGGCAGGGGGG